AGAAGGCCTCTTTTTCCCTACCATTATCAATACTTTACTCTTGTTTATTAAAAATTATCTAAACTTTATATTTTCTGGTGATGTTTTGTATTACTTACTATTAAGATCCCATTTAATCTGAGTGATCCCTTCCCTCCCTCTGTTTTTCTTTAAAATTGAAATTGGGCCACGTGACAAGGCCCGAGTAGAGCAAGCTCTATCTTGGATCTGTGAAATTGCGCTGAACCCACGAAATCCACTGAAGAATTTTTAGATCCCAAAAAAATACCACACAGATGAGAGAAGAGGAGAGAGCAGAACAAAAGTTTTGTCCAGATTTAAGTCCTCTTCTCTTACTCTTAGTGATCCAATCTTGTCTTTTGTATATCTATAAATCCAATCTTGTAACTTGAAAAGGAAACAAAAGTTAAATATTATCAACCAAAGTATATACTATATATACAAAAATCTGAGAAGAAGAGAATAGGAAACAATTATTGAAGAAAAAAACTTTAGATTTAGTAATTAATCTTATCCAATGGCGTTTGATTTATAATATACTCAGATTTTGATTTATACAAAATCCAGAGATGGGTTATTGATTTCATAATAATATATACAAAATGCTTAAAATATCTGAACATATAATAAGTGTTATATATAGGTATATATCTCAGATTTTTGATTTTTTATAATCTTCTTCTTTTGATGTGGTGATCCAACAATCTGTGGGTAAAAATTATTGAAATGCTATGTCCCTCTTTTGTTTGTTTTTGGTTGTTTTTTCTATGAATCCTAGAAGAAAAGAATGGAGGGAAGAAGAAAAGCAAGGAGGGTGATGTGGTGGGAGGATCGCCGGAGGGGTGAGGGTTAAGGTAATGGTGTGTGCGGAGCCTGTTTGGGGAAGATGAGCGTTGTGGGGAATGATTTGGTAGGACCATGAATGAGGACAACAGTTTTTGGCGTTTTTTCCTTCTCTCTTCCTCTTCCGTCAACAGTCTGGTTTTTTTTTTTTAAATTGAATATTTAGGCCCCAAAACGGACGTTTGTTTGGGATGGATAGAGGAGTGAGGGGTGACCACAGGAAGCGCGTACAGGAAAACGGAAGACGAGCGGATCCGGATTCACATATAACGTAAGCCTATGTTAGTATTAAAAGCAGATCCAATCATATACAAGTACAAACAGCACAAAGTGATGAAATAAATAACTCATAAATAATAGAGCTAATTCCTTCCTATAAGCCTATCTAAAATTTACATATCCAAATTCCAAAACAAAATCAAACAGAATTACGAAAATACCAGAAAACAACTTGTGGAGAAACCATAGCATTCATCCCAACAGTAGCAAGAAAACTAATGCAAAGGAACATCGAAGTGGGCAGCAATTTGCAGTCAAACCCCTGAGAATTTAGCCTAAAACCTTAGATCGAGGAACCCTTTAATGCCAATTCATTGATTCTCATTGATAACCAGTATACCAAGGTTTATCGGGACAAACTAAATACAATGTAGAAATTAAACGATTTCAATCGTCAAAATCGGACTTGGAATACAAATAATAATTATAGAAAATATCAAATATTGTGTGCACATTCTTCGTTTTTGGAGCATTATTACTAAAAAATGTCAAAAATTTAAAAACAAGTTTAAAAAGTCACCATATGCGATATTTAGAGTCACATTCATCTTAGTTAGAGTTCACTCACCTTCTCTACCACACCATTTCCAAACTCAACCCATCACAGCCCCAGTGCCCCCTATATTTTTCATATTAAAAAGTCAAAAAAAAATTACTTATTTAAAAACTTTCAAACCATTCCTAAGTATTTAGAAACAGAATATGCAACAAACCAGTCATCGCAAACCAAACAAGGTTCTATTCAGCAGCAAAAACTATAGCAAAAAGAAAACCACATCAACAGCAAACTTGCATCCAGCCCTTGGGAGCCAAAAATCTTGTCGAACTTTAATGCCATGCTGCTTCCCATTTGATAATATGCAAGTTTATGGGACAAAACACTCTAATCTTTCCAAAATGTAGCAGTGGTGTGGGATACAAAATAACGTGGTTAGGGAATTGGGAGCGTTCAATGAGTGGTTATGATCCTTTTTGATTTGAACCTTATTGAACTTTTTATCCAATATAAGTTTGAATTTGGAAGTCAAGACGCTTGTGTTTGTGGGGCGGAAGACCATTCGGGAGTATCTAATCTATCTCGTCATATCGATAGATCATGGAATAGAGGATAGTTGAATATATACATGTGTTATATATCAGATGTATCTGTGAGTTAATCTTGAATGTATATCAGATAGTACGTTATGTAGTTTTACCATAACTAATTTTTCCATTACTCTCTCTCTTTTAAACTCTTCTCCCATAAACAACGATTAAGTCATTTGCACGGACTTTTGGGTGATACTCCATTTTGTAGTATCATCACTGCTGGTGTTCGTAGTTGTCAGAGGAAGACTGATTCCCACGAGTGTTCTCCCTACAAGGTATATGATCCGGAATTATTTTTACCGTTGCAAGGTTAATTGTATATGCTATTATTTACATTGTTCAGAGAGGCTATGGGTATTTTCGGTAATTAGTTGTATGCTGATTAAATATGTGTATACTGTTTAATACAAATTATACATTATATATTACTATGCATGAAAAATTAAGGGGAGGAAAGATGTAAGTGCAACGATTTTTTGCACTGTCAACTCTGCAATTGATTGGCGAATTGTGATTAACTATGCATTTTTACATGTTTCATTAAATTTATTTTATTGCCAAATGTTTTGTGTGAAAAATGGAATCAGACGGGTACAAAAAAATCGAACCGAAAACACCCTGTGAAGGCGGAGCAGTGGGGCCTCACGCAGCGCACTGACGCCGTGAGGAGATTCTACGAGGCTCATCGCTTCCCGCTCCACGTGCTTCCACAGCCCAGGCAACACGAATACCAATACGACGCTAGACCACGCTGCGTCAGCGGCTGTGATGTTCCACTCGCGACGTGCGGGTCGCGTCACGTCACGCACGGCGCGTGTGCTAAGCGCTCGTTGGCCGGTTCTCTGGGAGCTTGCGCGAAACCGCAATCGCGCTGAGCCGCTTCTGGCACCTGTGGCTCGCGCTGAGCCGCAGAGAAATGAGCGGGCGCGCTAAACGCGCCGTTTTTCTCCGCCGCTGGCTTGTGAGTTAAGCTCTGTTTTGTTTTTTGGTTTTTTAATTCTGAATCGCTTGGGTAAATGGTCAATTAATTGTTTATCGCTTTATTTTTTTTAAGGCAGTGGTTAGTATCCGTATAGACTAGAATTATATTTTCTATTTTTTTGTAAAATTTTTAAAATTTTATGAAAATAAAGAGTTTTTTCCTGTGATTATTAATTCGATTATTTTATGCTTTAAAATGCTTCTGGTCATCTGCATTAAATTATTTTTGGGAATTAAATTTTTTATTGTTAGACTTCTGAAATTGTTTTTCTATTACTGGAATAATTTTTATCAGTTTATCAGATTTGGATTTTTATTTTTATTTATATGTGTTTGTTTATTGTTATTAGTCAGAATTGTAGAAAAATTTCAGAAAAATTCAGAAAATTCAGAGTGCTTACAGTGTTATTGTTATGACATTAATTTGAATATTCAATAACGATATTATTTTTTGCCTAGAATTTCTAATATGTTGTAATTAGAATAGCATGATTAATTGTTTTTTATTTTAATTCTGTTATTAAATGTAACATAGAATGTATTGATTGTGAATCTACATTATGATGCTATTGTATGAAATTATAATTTTTTATCATGCTTTTAAAATCTTTGTAGATTTACTCCCTGTGCGGGGAGCAAATATCCAGGCGAGCCTGCACTCCTTGCTTCCGAGCTCCGATTCTATCCGATCACCTGCGTGCACAACGACGGTGAGCTACCCGGCGGTGTGTGGCCGGAAAACCCCTCCGATGATCAAGTTAGACATACACACAAGGATAGAGAGAGAGAGAGAGAGGACTCAATTGTGTTTAGTGTTTATCTCACCAAAATGTCATCTGCCTCAGCATGGGGGGCGCAGACTTACTTATATACCTTCTGCGCGCCAAATCCACTCTCATTCGTCTCTCGACACGTGGTGCTACTATTCCAATTGTCGGCACAAATCTTGCTGAACATCACCTAACCCGACTGCCAGCCCACTCTACTGGGAGCTCGACAGCCGGCCTGCATCATCTCGGCTGTAGATGGCTGTGTTGTATAGCTGGCCGGAGCGCCCCGCTCGTCGCGCTCCGCTTTGACCGAGCTCGAGCATATCCCAGCATTGCCGAGCTCGGGACAGCTACGCTTGTTTGCCGTGGGCCTTACTGCCGAGCAAACACATGTAGCTCGGTTCAACCTTGTCTTTCCTGGCGCCGGACAACCCATTTGACAGGCTTCGATACCACGAAGCTATGTAGCTCGGTCAAACCACGCCTTGCATTAACCGAGCAGGATCTTTCAAGATAGGGTCGTACTACCTCGGCCCAAACCTGTCTGGCCCAATTCCAGATCATAAATCTCCCTCTCACTCCCGAAAACCAATATTTTGCGCATAAATTAAATTGAATTTTGGATAATTGTCACCTGTGGCACAAGAGATGATTACGAGCATAGCAGATTTTCGATCTTGCGACTTGTGTAATATTGTCACTATTTAATTTAGATTTTTGCGGCAAAATTATATTATGCTAATCAAATTAATCCCAATGTGAATTTCTCTCTAAATTGACTTAGCTTATGGAAGTTAATTGGTTGACCTAGACTTAGTAAAGATGTTCAAATGTGAACAATGTAATCCCATTCTTTAGATGAGCAAAAGTCTTGGAGACTTTAGGTCAAGTCTTACTTGAGCCAAAGTAAGGAAACATGACTCAAAGTCGCCGTGATTTTGTTGCTTTGTTTGGCATAATAAAAACTAATGTGTGCACTATGGTTAGCGGCACGCTACGTAGTTTTG